AGATGCTTAGTAACCAGAGTGCTGCTGTCCCCTCTTGTCCCTGTTGATGAAATTACTTACCCTTTTCACTTTAGTCCTAAGAAAGTTCCTCATTTGTATTTAACAGTTAATCCTTTTTTAAAATTTAAAGTCCTACTTTTATTATAAACCAAGTCCTTGTGTTTGTGGACTCGGCTATGTCCCAGTGTTAACATTATCCTCAAACCTGTATCTTGTGTTGGAGAGACCTTTTTGTTTCCATGTATTTGGATTACTTTACAGATAGACAAACCCCACCCCCACCCTGCCCCACAGAGATCTTGTGCACAGATGTCTTACTATTCCTGTAATTCGTTCTTCCAAAAGAACTGGATTACCAGTTTGTGAAAGCTACCAACCTCAACAAAAAAAGGAGACTTTTTAAAATGGAATATGTGTGTCATTTATTTCAGATTTGTTTTATATCCTATAAATTTAAAAACTTTCACTTGGAATTAAAGATACTTTATTAAACATTTAGGGATGTGTTTATTTTGCTATTACTAGGATTTTTTTTTGCTATATTTGCTAATAAGGTTTTGCAGTTCAAAATAATGCATTTCCCATAGTTATATCTTTGTGTTTCTTCAGTTGCACAAGCTAGAACTTCCAGGATAATGTCAAATGGTGGTCATGGTATGGCATATCCCTTCCTTATCCTCATCTCTAGAAAGATGCCTTTAGTATTTAGTAATATGCTTAGTTGTGTTTATTTGTGATAAATCTCTTACTCTTAGATGGCTTTTACTCATTGCTAGGGATATTTAAGCAAAGGGTGTTAAAGTTTGCAGATGCTTTCTAATAGGTAATGGTGTTCATGGATACCCCCTCCCCCTTCAGTCTATTATGTGTAATAGTTTACCTAACTGGGACATCATCCCTGTATTTGGATTCCATAGCCTTTCATGGTCATATGCTATTTATTTAGATTTTGCTGGATGGAATTTATTAAATGTTTTTGTACATGTGTGAAAAGTGTTTATTGAACATCTATAAAAATATGGTCATATAAAAGATGACAGTCCTTGCCCTTGTACCCTGTGGTAGGGTACAAGTGCAAGTAGTCTAACATTCTATTGGGCTTATACATCTTCAAGCATATCACTCATTATTTGGATACGTTTTTATTGATGGTCTGCCTGGGCCATCCTTGGACAGACTTCTCTTCAGCCTTAGTATTTCAGTTGCCAGTATCAGGCAAACCTTTAGACTTTTTCTCCCTGCAGCCACCTACAAACATGTGCCTTCTTGTCTCCTTCAATGGTAGGTGTGGTTGTTGCCATGGAGAAGCTGGCCTGGGAAAATAGGGGCCAAGTGGGTAGAGTAGTTATGCTTTTGATTGGTCAGACTCACTGTCACAGGAGGAGGTCACCTGGAATCTGGTCTTCCCGAGCAAGGGCGAGGTGAGTATGGGGCCCTGGCAGGTACCTACTCAGTGTCTGGCCCCACTGTTGGTGAAGGACAGAGTGAGTCAGGATAAAGATTGGGTCACCTGGCCAGAAAGGCCACTAACCTCATCACATGTGGCCCACTTGGTGTCAGGGAGCCCTACAGGAGGATGTCGAGCAATATTTCATGTTCCTAACTTTGACTATAGGTTTCTTGGAAATGGCCGGTGTCCTGTGACCTGTGTTAGGACTGTGATGACAATAGTAACAGTGTGTTAACAAAGTGTACACTCCTTGTCTGTGGTGCTCTTCTCCCTGCATCACATGTTAAATGATGTCACCTGCCATTGTTCAGTCTCAAGGTTCATCTTGAAAACTTTAAAATGAGGTGTACTTATAAGAGTTTAACTGTAGTATACAGCTGACTTTTTAGTGTTTTTTTTTTATTCTTATTAATATTTCATCTACTTGTCTATCTTTGTCCTTAAATGGAGACTTGCTGGTTCAAAAGGAATAGTTGGTTTTAATGTCTTTAAACAGGCCAAAAGGGTATCCAGAAATGTGCTTTGTTCACAGCTGCGTCAGCTGGCATTTCCATACTCTTACCAGCACCAACTTTTTATCCATTAAACATTTGCCCACATGACCCACATGACAAATGTTTATTGTAATATTTTATGTTTCTTTGATTTCTGATGTTCTATACTGGCTTTTAGCATTACTTATTTTATGAACTCTGTATTAGTGCTATTTTCTGTTGGTCTACTTGTCTTTTCCTTATGCTCAGAGCGTTTTGCTTTTAAAGTATTAACTGTCATCTGTGTTGTGAAGTATTTTCCCTTCATTTCTGGCTTGCTTTTATTTTGGTTGGTTTTTATAGTACAGAAAGTTTGAACCCATCTTTATTTTTATGTCTCCCATGTGGTGGTCTTTTGGTGGTCTCTGCCATTGGAATTGTGCACATTCTCCTCCTGTCTCTGTTTTCTGCTGGTATAAACAGTGCATCCACTAACACCCTTTTGAACTGTTTATCTTTGTGCACAAGGGCAGATAGGTCTATGAGTTAGTTTTCAGAAGCAGAATCTCCAGAATAGGGGTTGACATATTTATGTACTGTAATTATTGGATATAATTGAGGGATATACTCAAGTTACAGTACAATTTCCATAACTATTGAATCTGAGAGATTTCCAAGTTGGTTCTTTGGGGTATTCTAAATTGCCTGTCATGTCATTTGCAAATATACAGGTTAGTGTGTGACCATGGCCTCCAATTATGGGTAGGATAGGCAGCAGGGGATAGGGGAAGGAGAACCTGGGCTCTGCATCAGGGTAAAGAAATTAGTGCTGCCCACACCCATTGGGCAGCACAGACTCTAAAGGCCTCTATTAGTGCTTTTGTTGATGTTTTGTTTTAACTTTCAATTTTTTTTTTTCCTTGAGAGGTTTTCACTATAGGGCGCGTGCACTCGCCAGACAGAGAGAGACATAGAGACAGAAAGCGAGAAATCACCCCCCAGGGGGGATGGTCACGCCGCAATCCCTTCTCCTCCCTTCTCCTCTCGGGATCTTGGGCATGCACGCACACGTGCCCGGCGTGAGTTTTAAGCCACCGGGTCCAGGACGCGAACCACGGTCGACTACATGGGAGTCCAGCGACATAGCCATTACGCTAACTGCTGGTTCCCACTTTCAATTTTTTTTTTAACTAGATAAATACATGCTTATGGTAAAAATAAGTAAGTAAATAAATAAATAAACAAACAAAAGGAGACTATACAATGAAAAAGTAAGTTATCCTCTCTTCCTTGGCCCCCAGTTCTCTTCCCCAGAGGCAATTATTATCAATTACATTGATAGCTTCTTATATAGCCTCTAGAAACTGTAACACATATTTTTGTAGTTTTCTGGGATTGCTATATACATTGTTATATCCCTTTTTGCACTTAATTATCTTAGAGATACTTTCATATCCATTTATTTAGAATTATCTTGTTATTTTAAGAGATTTCATTAGAATCTATGGTATTAATATACTACATCTTGTCTGTTGTGAACACTTCAATGAGTATATATAATCTTACATATATATCATTACATGTCTGTGCAAAATTCATAGAAATAGAACTTATAGGACAGGTTATGTACACTTTCCATTTTAATAAAATTTACATTGCCATAAGTAGTATATGAGAGTGTCTATTTCTTAAGATGCACACAGATAAATAGAGTGTCCATATGTATGATTACTCTATTCCCAAGTGCCTTCCTCCCCCGCCTTTTTAAAACTGGATAAGTTACTTTTGCCATTGTGGGAAGGAATAGCTAAGGTTTTTGTTTTTGTTTGTTTGTTTTTAAGATTTTCCTGTTAAAAATACTTCATTTTCAGTGCTCTTATTGACTGTGAGGGCTGTACTATTGGCCTGATCAGAAAATCTTGAGCATGTTAAATGAACATTATGTTTTACTTACTCTGGTCCTGAATTTTCTAAGGAAAAAATATGAAAATTTTTTGGATACAGAAGTCAGTATCCACTTTGTAACAAGATAGTAACAGGCATTCAAGTCGTCATATTATTAATGAATAGAAGTCCTCCATCTCTTTTTCTATGCTCTCAAATGATTTTATAATATAGTAAATACTTTGTGCAAAGTTTTTGTTTGTTTGGAAAGTTGCTCCTTAATAATTTTAGTATTTTAGATTTCTTCCCAGGTGGTCATTTTATCCTCTGCTTCCTGTGTCAAGTTTGGTTATTTATATTTTCTTAGAAGAAAAATAACATTGATTTCCTATCAAACTTTTTTTCTAAAGAAGTTTTGACCTTAGGGTGCACATGTTCACCAGAGAGAGAGAGAGAGAGAGAGAGAGACAGACAGAGGCAGTAAGAGGGAAAGTGAGAAATCACTCCCCTGGAGAGATGGCCATGCCATATTCCCTTCATCTCCATTCTCTTCTTGGGCATGCACACACACGTGTGTGGGTGTGAGTTTGAAGCCACCAGGTCCGGGACTAGAACCATGGTCGGCCATGTGAGAGTCCAGCAACATAGCCAGTAAGCCATCTGCTGGTCTCAATTTCTTATCAAACTTTAGAAACTTACAGTTTTTTATGTATAGTTTTCACCTGGTGGTGCTGTATACTTCAAATATATACTTACTAGTGAGAGAAATTCACATAACATAAAAGCATATGTTAGCTTACATAAAAGATTAATAGTTTCATCTGTTTTCTCTCTGTGCCTCATTTGTTTTTCTTATCACAAATGGCTAGAATGCTACAAAATAATATTCAATAATAGCAGTGTTGAGACTTTTGTTCTGCTTTCTTTGGTGAGTTTGGTTCATGATTTCTTAGTACTATTTCCGTTTTGGGTTGTGGAATCATTCTGGTTGCATAAAATCAATTTGAAAGCTTTGTTTCTCATCTCTTACTTGGTTTATATGGCATAGGATTGGCCTTTTTTCTGAAGATGTGTAAAGGTGACCCCAGTGCTGTCCTGGTCCCCAGCCATTTGAAGAGCTAATTCTCTGACATTCCTTTTTATCTCTTCCATATTTCTAAGTCTGTGTATCTCTTTCTTTAAAATGCCTGCAGGTACCTGCATTTCAAATTTGTTCCTGTGGATGCCTGCTTGATCTGAAGTTCTAGAAAGGATCCTGTTCTCAGGCAGGTGATTACATACCAGAGGGCATCTCATTGCCTAAAAGTGAGGGCCTCTGTCATCTAGGGTGCGAGTTTTTATGCCACAGGGTAAGATAGGACCCTTTAGCCCCTCATAGGCATGGAACTCTGCTTGTATCTGGTCCTGAGTGAGACTGACTGTGTCATCATGTCTGAAATGTCATACCAGTTCTCTTGCTGTCCAGTGTGGTAGCCATCAGCTATTTGTGCCTATTGGTGAGCACTTGAAATGTGTTAGTGCACATGAGGAACTCAGTCTTTAATGTGTTGAATTTTAATCAAAATATGGCCAATGACTATATTATAGCAAAATATTTGTAGAGAAATTAATCAGTGAAGAGAAGATATAATCACCTGCACTCACATTACTTAGAGTATTTGAAGTTCACAGTTCTGAAAGAGATGTAGATGCTGTTATTCCCATTTCAGAGATTATGGAGACTCCTGAGCCTTAGGTAAGTTGGCCACAGTCACATGACCAGTTAGTACCAGAACTTAACGGCTCAGGTATCAGTCTGTGCCAAGTCCAGGAGTCACTGAAGAGAAGATATAATCACCTGCACTCACATTACTTAGAGTATTTGAAGTTCACAGTTCTGAAAGAGATGTAGATGCTGTTATTCCCATTTCAGAGATTATGGAGACTCCTGAGCCTTAGGCCACAGTCACATGACCAGTTAGTACCAGAACTTAACGGCTCAGGTATCAGTCTGTGCCAAGTCCAGGAGTCACACTCATAAGCACTGTGCTGAGACCAATGATGTATTGTTGTGTGTGTGTCTATTTACTGGGGAACTTCCATATTCCAAAGAATTGCTGATGCCTTGGCAGGGTGGCCCCACACTCTGCTGGTCCTCAACTTCTGGGACATGTGTATATCTCCTTACGATCTACAGGTCCCTGGGTACTGACTGTCACAGGCTGCTGCATCTTTCCTGTTGACTCATGTTTGGTTCCTCCAGTGAGAGTTTTACTTAGAGAAATGCTGCCTCCAAAGCACTTGTCTACCACCAAACCTAAGAAGTTCTGGGCCCCAAATCTGTATGAGCTAGACAGTGACTTGACTAAGGAGCCGGATGTCATCATAGGAGAAGGCCCAACTGACTCTGAATTCTTTCATCAGAGGTTTCGGAACTTCCTCTATGTAGAATTTGTTGGGCCTCGGAAGACCCTGAACAAACTCCGAAACCTCTGCCTCGATTGGTTGCAGCCGGAGACTCGCACCAAGGAGGAGATCATCGAGCTTTTGGTCCTTGAGCAGTACCTGACCATCATCCCTGAAAAGCTCAAGCCTTGGGTGCGAGCAAAAAAGCCAGAAAACTGTGAGAAGCTCGTCACTTTGCTGGAGAATTACAAGGAGATGTACCAGCCAGAAGGTGAGGCTCTCCAAGGAGGATGGTGTCTGTGCAGGTGCTAAATGCTCCTTGGGCTTGTCAGCCTGGTTTACCTTGTCATGGGACAGGGGCTGCACCATGGGCCGTGACCTCCTGCCAAATGTGATTACCAGATGTGTCTTCATAAATGGCCACGTGTCCCCAGTGGGACAGAATCACCAATGGCCAAGAACCACTGCCCTGAATTAGAAGAGGGAAAGGAAACACTTTGGCGAAGAGGTTGAGTTAGGAAGAGAATGACTGTGACCTGCGCCCTTGTGGTGCAGTGCCCCAGGAAGTTGCCGTTCTTATTTGGCGTGAGATGGGGTGATCATAGTTTTTAAGTGGCAGAGTGGTTTGAGCCACCAAAGAATTTTGAACTGAGAAATGACAGGGTTAGCCCACTCCACTTGTTCATGTGTGTGTTGGGTTAGGGTTGGGGAGGCACTCAAGGATTAGGGGAAACCTGTGAGAATTTGGGCCAGAGATCACAATGCATTCATTAAGTCAGTGTCTGGTGTCTTCTCAGACGACACCAACAGTGACGTGGCCAGTGATGATGACATGAGTCGAAACGGAGGAGAATCCCCCCCACCACGCTCCATCTATTCTTTCAGTAGTAAGTACCTAGCCTGCTGGCTCCACCTCCCATGGGAGTATTTCCAGCTGCTGCATCAGGTGGAGGAATAGTGGGTGTCGAAGCCTCCAGGAAGAGGGTACATTACACTAGAGTGGTTGAATTTATTGAGATCTGAGGGAGGAATGGATGACTTGATGATATAATAAGATACTTTACATCCACATAGACAACCATAGGTGAAGTGGAATGCAGGGTGTTAAATGCTTGCTTGAGCCCATTGGAATTTGCAGTGTGCTGCGCAGCCTTGCCCCAGCCTCTCCAGCAGGGTCATTAAAGAGACTCTCTGTAACCTTTCTAAGGGAGTGTTCTTTCAGGGAGGCTGTAGGTTTTACTTCTTTGCAGTAGAAGAGGGTGCACTTTAAGGTGAGCTGGCATCAGCCAGATGGAAGAGACCCAGCAATCCATTCTCCTGAGTTTGGACTAGACTTCTCAGGAGCTAATGAAGTAGCAGAAGGCTCAGGGGAACCAGCTTCTGGACTGAGCTTTGGAGCTGCCTTTGAAGCAAGCCCCAGCTGGGCAAAACCTCCAGGAACCACGTTGCATGTAAAGAGTATGAAAGAGACGACCAAGTCTAGGTGTCTGGAACCCTTGGTTTTGGGTCTATCTCCTCATGGGAGGAGGTAAAGATAGTGACTTTTTCTAGGGGAGTATATGTGCATGGGAAGGTAGAACATGTGTGTCTGAGCACTTTTTAAAGTACTCGAATATCTGTCTTGCTCAGGTGACCGGGACTGGGACCGGAGGGGAAGAAGCAGAGATGCGGAGTCTCGAGACTGCTGGAAGTATGCCAGGAGCCCGCGAAGCAGTAAGTGGTCCGGCAGTCTGCATCCAGGTTTATAAGCTTAAGGGAAGATGGCAGGACTCAGGAGCCCCACGGCTCATTCATTCCATACCTGGCTCTCCCACAGTCTGGACTGGGGCTCCTGTTTCTAAGTTTGCTCAGTGTTACAACTTGCACAGTTTTTACCATAGATACCTATTTCTACTGGTTCTACTGAGCTCACTGTTTTTCTTAAGTTGGTATGTTTTTTTCTTTCAAACCAGAAGTTTTCTGTGTAAAAGATAATACCACTATAAATACCAAAAACTAGATAAACTACCATAGTTAGAGATTATAATGATGAAAGATCAACATTTTGTGACAGTGGTGTTTGCAAGCTAGAAGCACCTGCTATATCTTCATGCACGGTTAGAGAAACTGCATCCTAGTGCCAGGTTGAGACTTGCTTTTGGGTTAGAAGAGAACTGGAAAGGAGCTAATCATTATATCAGTGTATTGCTGGTATCTATACTTCCAGAAATCATCCTGTGTGCCTCCTGGACTTGGAGGATTGGCAGAACACAGTGGACACCACTAAAATTATGGTCAAGAAAAGAATAACATCTTGTTATAGTTCAAAATATCTCAGTTGCTATTCAGAGCAGTGACCCTGTGGGGCAGTGGCTCTGATACTATCTGTGTGATAGCTGAGGAGACTGAAAAGGGTGAAGGCCAGAGAACAGGGTCGGTGTGTACATCTGAATCCATACTGTGAGGCATGATCCACATTGTCTCCAGGATCAGGAACTAGGAGAATGAGGTGGACTGACCCTGCCCTGATTCTAGGATGGTACAGCCTGCTGCATATTTTGGTCTCCTCAGAGACTATCAAAGGAGCAGAGATGAGAAAGAGATCCATTCACACACAACTCCTTACAGCCAAGCAAACTCAGGACCTGCTGGACTGGGCTGATTCAGGCCTTGCTCCCTTGTAATACTTGTTCTCTCCCCAGGGCTGCTTCAGCGTGATCTTTCCCTTCCTGTGATGGCAAAAACAAGTTTTGAAATGGAAAGAGATAATGACAGGGACTCGATGGATTATGAGTCCCGATCACAGGTATGCTAAGGTTTCTTTTCTTTCTAGAAAGGCCATCTTTATTTCATGGTAAAGATGCCTTTCTTTCCTCAGATGGTGTGTTCATCCATCCCCTAGAGTCCCACCCATAGCTAGAGCATCAGTCACTCCCACGGGGATCCTGGACTATCCTTGTCCTCATAGGTAGCAAGCAGCCCCAGAAGCTGCTGCCTGTTTTCTGTTTTCTCCATGTAGTCATATTGTCCCCTCAACATGTGCCACTGGTAGGTTGATTATATTGGCTATTCCTTCTGGGGCTAGGGAAGCAGAGTGATTCTGGAGTCAGGAGAGCTGCCCAAGTCCACAGGGTAGACTGGTCAGAGACAGCCAATGCTCCAGAGCTGAAGAGAGCTGGTTTGAAACTGGTGCCACTACCTTCTAACTGTGTGGCCTCAGCTGTTTATTCAGCTGACCTTAACCTCAGTTTCCTCAACTGTAAAATGGGTGTAGTAATTTCCTCTGAAGGCTGCTGTGAGGAGTCAGTGAGAGTCACACACATACATGAAGTGCCTACTCTGTAGCCTGGCAGATGGTAGGCATTCTGTGAGTGTTAACATTTATGGCAATTATTGGCTAAGAGGCAGGATGTGCTAGGGGGACCAGTGAAGGGAAAATGGACATGGGATTTGAGTTGGCCCTTAAGGAAGGTGAAGCAGGAGTCATGTTATGGTAGAATGTAGAGGAGGGCTCAGAAAGGAGGCTGTGGCCAGTGAGTGGAGCTTTCATTTCCTTCACACAATGGTCCTGGGGTACCCAGGACCATTGGCTGGGGTATCCAGCAGTGACCAGGCAGGTAGGGTCCCTGCTCTAAAAAGTGGTTGGTCATACAAATGAATATGTATATAAAACACTGTGTGTGATTGTTGGTAGCTATGAGTGTACTCGAGAGAAAACAGAGGATAGTGTATTGTAAAAGGGTCTTGATTTAGACTGGAGAGAAATGTCTTCAAGGCAATAATGGTTGACATGTCAAGGTTGGGGAAGGATGCACTGGGTTAGGTGTCAGAGGGAAGAGATCCCAGGCATTAGAGGGAGCGCGGGCAAAGACCATGGGGGAAGGAAGCAAAGATCAGGCCAGCTGGGACTCAGAAGAAGAGGTGGGAGATGGACTGGAGGCAGAGGGGCCTATTTACTACATCCTGGTAGCTGGACTTCGCCTTGTTCTGCTTTGTTTAACTTTACTTACTTATTGTAGGGCGTGTGTGCTCGCCAGACAGACAGAGAGAGACAGAGACAGAAAGTGAGAAATCACCCCCCAGGGGGGATGGCCACGCCACAATCCCTTCTCCTCCATTCTCCTCTTGGGATCTTGGGCACGCATGCACACACGCCCGGTATGAGTTTTAGGCCACCGGGTCTGGGATGTGAACCGCAGTTGACTACATGGGAGTCCAGCGACATAGCCATTACGCTAACTGCTAGTCCCTATTTACTTATTTATTTTAATTTGACCAGAGAGGGACAGAGTGAATGAGAAAGAAAGAGGGAAAGTGAAAAAGCAAGCTGCTAGGTCCAGGACTTGAACCACAGTTGGCCATGTGGGAGTTCAGCACCCTTAACCACCATGCCACCTGCCAGTCCCACCTTGTTCTGCTTTGTAAATGCCTTTCTTGACAATGTGGAAAAAGTTGGCAGCTGAGACCCTTATCTGCATAGTCTAAGAATCTAGAAACCACTGACTCACTCCTGTTGACTCAGTATGGTGAAAACAGTAGCAGCAGATGATAGAAGTACATTCTGAGGGTGTACAAAATAAATTTCTTCCATCTTCTTTTAAATCTCTCAATTCGTGTGTATAAGTCACTTTAACCTAAAATTATGCTGTGGTAGCATTGTTCTCAGGGCAGCATCTCTTCCAGTTGGACTGGACTGTGGCTCATGCACGTGTAGATGCCTTCATTGATCATAAAGAAAGCAGGCTGCTGCTTCATGGCCATTCACTTATGTAGATTAACTTAATTTTAAGCCAGAACATTCTTTGCTATAGGGCATGTGCACTTGCTGAAGAGACAGACAGAGAGATGGAAAGCAAAAAATCACCCCCTAGTGGAATGACCATCCTGCATTCCTTTCTCCTCTCCTCTCTCTGGGGATTTTGGGCACACATGCACACACACCCAGTATGAGTTTTAAGCTACTGGGTCCAAGACTCTAACCATAGCCATGTGAGTGCAATGATACAACCTTATGCCATCTGCTGGCCCCAGCCAAAACATTCTTTTTCTTTCATAACAGCAATGTAGTTCAGAGTTTAATGTACGTTTATTTCACTCAGACAGATGGTAAGAAAGATATGAACGATAACCTTCCCCTTTGCCTCGATTCTTGGGATCTATCCATCACAGGGGTGGCCATCCTCAGCTCTTCACCTCAAAAGTTCCTGACCTCATTAGCTTTCTGCCAGCCCCAAGATTGTGAGCTGTGGTTTCTTCCATTGTACAAGTGTAGCTATGCTCCCACTTTCTCTTCCACTCATTATATTAAGCAAGTGCCCTGGAGAAACTGTCCATCTGGCAGGAGGAGATGGGTGGCCAAGAAAATGTGGCTTGGCTTTATGAGGTGGTAGTTGTACTGATTTTGCAATGCCTCCTGAGTTTTTTGATTTTTTTTTGGGGGGGGAGGTGTTTTCTATAGGGCGTGTGCACTCGCTAGAAAGACAGAGAGACAGAAGGCAAGAAATGCCCCCCCCCCAAGGGGATGGCCATGCCACAATCCCTTCTCCTCCATTTTCCTCTTGGGATCTTGGGCACGCACGCACACGTACCTGGTGTGAGTTTAAGGCACCAGATCCAGGACTCGAACCACGGTTGACTACATGGAAGTCCAGTGACATAGCCATTATGTTAACTGCTGGTCCCTGACTCCTGAGTTTTTAAAGCTTGTTCATTGTCCCCCAAATTATATCTGTCCTAATCTAGAAAAAGTTTAATTTTTGAAGCTATATGTCTTGTCTTTGTCCTAGTTTTTATGATTATTTTTGCTTTTTAATGACTGGATACTGTCAGTTGCATTATTGAGACTTGTTTTAAAACCCTGATGGGTGGGCCTCTTTCTTAGAAAGAGATGTACTTTGTTCTGTAAATTGTTTCTTTTTTTGCTACCTTTTCAGTGTTGCTTTAACATCTGAGTGCCCAGCATTAGAACTATAATAAGTTTAATATTGAGCCATCTATATTTTTAACCTAATTTTTCTTAATTTTTAAACAACACATTACATTGAAGAAAATTTTCACCCACAATGTTGCTATAAGGCAGATAGAAGCTCTTCTCCCATTTTACAGATGATGAACCTAAGGCTCAGGAAGAGTGTTGTTCCCAGGATTGCACAGTTTATAATGACGCTGTCTTCCTTTGACCCTAAAGCACACCACCTCCACAGTCTGTGGGATTCTCACAGCACCATCTCTCTCCTCCAGAATTTCTCTAGGCTTCAGTGAGACTAGCAATGCTTGTACAGTGCTCTGGCAGTAACTGCAGGTCTTTCAGAATCCAGCAGAGGAGATTCTCCTGAGTAATGCGCTTAATCTTAAGATCCTTTTTTTAGGGAAATAGCCATTAAAACGGAAAGACAGCTAAAAAAGAAAGGTCCTCAATGTTACAGTTACTCGTGAATTATTTGGAAATTTTGTACACAGGAGGCACCCACAGTGTAGCTGTGCTGTGCAGTAGAGGAATGGGGAAGGAGGTTTAAATTACACACCCTGGCCAGACGTCTGCTTTAGTACATCTTCATTCTTCTTGCTGAGTATGCAACATGTGTTTGATGTTTAGCTTGTTCAGGCTTGCCTGCCAGTCCCTCTCTGTACATGTCATAATCTCACCTCTCACCTAAGGTCTTACCTGTGGCCTGCCAGAAAACCTCTGCTCACTGTTCAGGCCCACCTTGAACTGTCCAACTATGAAACCCATTTAACATTTACTATCTGTACCCCAATTTATTGTTTATTGTTCTCTAATTGTTTCATGAGTCTTTTCTCTCCAACCAAATTATAAGCTGCATGAGGGCAAGGAATATGTGTCATGCGTCTTTGGGATCTGCCTCAGAGTGTAGCACCAAGGTAGGTACAACGTAGGCCCCTAGTAACACTTGATTTGGATCACTCAGAACCCCAAATACCGTGAGCACTTCCCATATAACTTCGTATATGTAGCTCCCTTGTCTCCAACCATTATTCTTCTCTCTGTGGACATCTGTGGGGACAGACTCTTTGAGAAGTCTGTGTTTACCATTTTAGGATACTGAATCATACCAGAATGTTGTGGACCTCACTGAGGACAGGAGACCTCAGAACCCTATCCAGGACAACATGGAGAACTACAGGAAACTGCTTTCCCTGGGTAAGAAGCAGTTACTCCTAATCCAGTCACTGGAGTATCTTGTCATCTTCCTTTTTTCACACTGCAGGATCTTGAGAGTCCATGCTAACATATCTGAACTTCAAGTGTACTATGAAGCCTTTGATCAGGAAAGTAAATAATAAGATCTGTGTGGATTTTTTTTTTCTTAAAGAGATTTTTTTCTGTTGGGCATGTGCTTTCATCAGAGAGACAGAAAGCAAGCAAGAAATCACCCCTTGAGGGATGACAATGCTGCAGTCCCTTCTCCTTCATTCTCCTCTCCGAATTTTGGTCATGCACACATGTGCCCAGCGTGAGTTTCAAGCCACCAGGTCTGAGACTTGAACTGTAGTCAGATATGTGGGAGTCCAGTGCCTTACCACTACGCCACCTGCTGGCCCCAGGATCTGTGTTTTTAAGAAGCTCCTCTGGGGGTCAGCAGGTGGCATGGTGGTTAAGGCACTGGACTCCCACTTGGCTGACTGTGGTTTGAGTCTCAGACCTGAAGGCTTGAAAATCATGCCAGACACATGTCCAAGCATGCCCAAAGTCCTAGTAGCAGAGGGGCCAGCAGGTGGCCTAATGGTTAAGGTGTTGGACTCTCACATGGCCATCCACAGTTTGAGTACTGGATCTGGCAGCTTGAAAATCACTCCAGGCACATGCGTATGGATGCCTAAAATCTCAAGAGGAGAGTAGAGAAGAGACTACAGTGTGGCCATCCCCCCTGGGGGGGTTATGATTCCTTACTTTCCTTCTCACTGTCTCTCTATGTCTCTCTCCAACAAGCACATGTGCCACATGGCAGAAACCTAGAAAGGGGGAAAAAAAAATTAAGAACAGAATGGAAGAAAAAGGACTGCAGTGTGGCCATCCACCCTGGGGTATGATTTCTCACTTTCCCTCTCTGGCAAGTGCAGATTCTGTGGCAAAAACCTAAAGAAAAAGAAACTTCTCTGGCTTTGGATGAAAAACACATTATTCAGGGTGGGAGCAAACAGGAAGACAGGTCCTGCCTTAAGAGTTGATATTCTTTCTAGAGATTGGCAGTGGTGATATTTAAAAACATATTTAGAATGGACTTTGGGCTGACTCTTCTAGAAGACATCTAGCCCAGGTTGGTAGTAAGCAGTTGGCTCTATAGGTATGTGAGACCATGGGACCTTGAGGAAGTCCAGTGTTTAGTGAGCAGATGGAGAAAGAGGAGTCAAGAGGTAGGAGGAAAAACACAGTGGTGAGTGAAAAGGGGGCTATCAAGACTTTCACTGGACTAGTATACAGTGTGTTTATGTTGTAACGATATACAGTGATTGAATGTATAAAAAAATAAAATACATATTAAAAAGCTAAAAAAAAAAAGATGGTTACAAAAAGGTGAAAACTAAAAGAGGATGCACTGAATTGAGGGACATGGAGGTCTTTATACAGTTTTCTGAGTGGAGTCAGGGGAATTAATTAAGATGCAGACTTCAATGGAATTGGGAATGGATAGTAGTGAATTGAGATAGCAAATGAAAGATGCCAGTGAAACAGAGATGGGTCACTTCATATTTAGTGACTCAGAGAGAGAAACAATTTATGGTGATAAGTGTTGGTCCCAAACTCGAATTTGAGCCATTATACTATTCTTGTGACCAGGGGTACAGCTTGCTGAAGATGATGGTCACTCCCACATGACCCAAGGCCACTCATCAAGATCCAAGAGAAGTGCCTACCCAAGTACAAGTCGAGGTAAGCACTACACAGATACTACAGAGGAGCCTTTGCAACCAACAAGACACATCAAAAATCATTTGTATTTCCACTCCACATCCCAGAGGGTGTTTTCCTCCAAGTTCTTCTATCATTTTGTACAAGCATGGGGACCCGGGAGTATTTACATTTGGGGTTTCTTTCCAGGTTTGAAAACTATGCCTGAAGCCAAAAAGTCAACCCACCGGCGGGGAATTTGTGAAGATGAATCTTCCCATGGGGTGATAATGGAAAAATTCATCAAGGATGTGTCACGCAGCTCCAAATCAGGACGAGCAAGGGAGTCGAATGATCGGTTGCAGAGGTTCTCCAGAATGTCAGATGATAACTGGAAGGACATTTCGGTCAACAAGAGGGAATCAGTGATCCAGGAGAGAAGCTGTGATGGGAATGCATTTAGGGGAGGTTTTAGGTTTAATTCAAATCTTGTTTCCAGAAAGAGAGTTCTTGAAAGAAAAAGACGCTATCATTTTGACACAGATGGGAAAGGCTTGAGTCATGATCCTAAAGGCTGTGCTAGGAAGAAGCCCTTTGAATGTAGCAGCGAGATGAGGAAAGCCATGAGTATGAGCAACCTAAGCAGCCTTGGCACCCCCTCCTTTACTGAGTCCCATCCAGTTGATTTTGGGACAATGCCGTACGTGTGTGATGAGTGTGGACGGTCTTTCAGTGTCATCTCAGAATTTGTTGAACATCAGATCATGCATACTAGAGAGAACCTCTATGAATATGGTGAGTCTTTTATTCACAGCGTGGCTGTCAGTGAGGTTCAGAAAAGTCAGGCTCGGGGGAAACGTTTTGAGTGTAAGGAGTGTGGGGAAACCTTCAATAAGAGTGCTGCCCTGGTTGAGCATCGGAAAATTCATTCTAGAGAGTATCTTGCAGGTTGTAAAGATCAGGAGTATGAGGAAACCTTCATGCCTAGTCCGACCTTCAGTGAGCTTCAGAAGATATATGGCAAAGACAAGTTCTATGAGTGCAGGGTGTGTAAGGAAACCTTTCTTCATAGTTCTGCCCTGATTGAGCACCAGAAAACCCATGATAGAGGGAACTTCGGTGATGAGACAGATAATGAGCATGAGCGTGAACGAGACCGTGGAGAAGCCTTTATGCCCAGCTCAACCCTTAATGAGCTTCATAAAATGTATGGTAAAGAGAAACTCTATGAATGTAAGGTGTGTGGGGAGAACTTCCTTCATAGCTCATCTCTGCGAGAACATCAGAAGATCCATACTAGAGGAAACCCATTTGAAAATAAGGGTAAAGTGTGTGAGGAAACTTTTATTCCTGGTCAGTCCCTAAAGAGGCATCAGAAAACTTATGCTAAGGAGAAGCTCTATGACTTTAAAGATAGTAGGGATGCCTTTGTGCAAAGCTCAGACCTCAGTGAACATCAGAAAATACATTCTCGTAAGAATTTCTTTGAAGGTAGAGGGTATGAGAAATCTGTCATTCATAGCGTGCCTTTCACTGAATCTCAGAAAAGTCATACTATAACAAGACCACCTGAAAACAAGGCATTCACCATCAGCTCTAATCCTGATGAATACCGGAAATTACCCACTAAAGAAAATGTCTATGAGGGAAAACCATATGAAATGTCTGTTATTCATAGCTTAGCCTCTTCTGAAGCTCAGAAAATTCATGATGCAGTAGGGCCCAGTAAACTGAAAGTGGTGGCAGAGTCTACATTTCAAAGCTCTGATGTTATCAACCATCAGAAAATCCTTGCTGGAGGCAATACCTGTGAAGGAAAGGAGTACAAAAGGTCTGTTATCCATAGTCTAACCACTCTCAAACCTTGGAAAAGTCACAGTGAAAATGAACTTGTTGAATGTAATGAGAAGGGAGAATCCTCCACGTACATCTCATATCTTAATGGAAAGCAACAGATTCCTGCCAGAGAGAGCCCATATGAAAGGGGTAAGAAGAACAACTACAAGGACTCTGTTATACAGAGTGTATCCCATATCGAATCTCAAAAAAGTCTTACTGGAGAGGGATCCAGTGAATTTAAACAGGATGGAGAATTCTCTGTTCCCAGTTCAAATGTCCGAGGACCCCAGAAAGCTCGTGCTAAGAAGAAATACATTGAGCATAGGGACAATGAGACCTCTGTAATTCACTCCCTACCCTTTAGTAAGTCACCAGTAGTTCACCCTAGAGAGAAACTCTATGAATGTCAGCAGTGTGGGCAATCCTTTGCTCTTAGCTCCAACCTCACTGAGCATCAGAAGATTCATGAGAGAGAGAAGCCCTCTGGAAGTAGAAACTATGAACAATCTGTCATTCGCAGCTTGGCCGGTACTGACCCTCAGACAAGTTATACCCAGGAACAATATGCTGAAGAGCAAGTACGCAACAAATGTAAAGAGATGGGGCAATGTTTTGCTACAAGCAAAGACCTTTGTGTGCATCAGAAAATCTATACTCAAGAGAAGAGCCATGAAGAGGTCCCTACTAAAGAGGTCCATACTGATGAGGCCCATGACAAGGAGGCTTATGGTGAGGAGGTCCATTGTGATGAAGCCTGTGGCAAGGAGATCTATAGTGAGGGGGCTTATGGTGAGGAGGTTTGTGATGAGGAGGTCCATAGTGAGGAGTCCCATGGTGAGGTTAATGGTCAGGATAAAATTGAAGATTCTGTTATTCAGGGCTCAGACTTGGATGAATCTCAGAAAGATGACCCCGATGACACAATCTATGAATGTCAAGACTGTGGGCTAGGCTTTGTGGATCTCACAGACCTCACAGATCATCAGAAAGTCCATAGCAGAAAGTGCCTCGTTGATAGCCGTGAATACACACATTCTGTAATTCATACCCATTCTATCAGTGAGTATCAGAGAGATTACACTGGAGAGCAGCTCTATGAATGCCCAAAGTGTGGGGAATCTTTTATTCATAGTTCATTTCTTTTTGAGCATCAGAGAATCCATGAACAAGACCAGTTATATTCCATGAAGGGGTGCGATGATGGCTTTATTGCTCTCTTGCCCATGAAGCCACGGAGAAATCGTGCTGCAGAAAGGAATCCTGCTCTTGCTGGGTCGGCCATTCGATGCCTTGTCTGTGGACAAGGTTTCATTCATAGCTCTGCTCTTAATGAGCATATGAGACTTCACAGGGAAGATGATTTACTGGAACAAAGCCAGATGGCTGAGGAAATTTTCATTCCAGGCTTAGCTCTCACCGAGTTTCAAAGAAGTCAAACAGAAGAGAGTCTCTTTGAATGTACAATCTGTGGAGAGTCTTTCGTCAATCCATCAGAACTTGGGGATCACATAAGTGTTCACAAGAATGAGCCCTATGATTATGGGGCCTCCTATACTCATACTTCATTTCTTACTGAGCCCCTCAAAGGAGCTATACCGTTCTATGAATGCAAGGATTGTGGGAAGTCCTTTATTCATAGCACAGTCCTCACTAAACATAAAGAGTTTCATCCTGAAGAAGATGATGATGAAGAAGAAGAAGCAACAGCCCAAGAAGTTGAGGTTAATGTCCTTGTTCCACGAGAAGTTCTGCGGATTCAGGGGTCAAACGTAGAGGCTGCTGAGCAAGAGGTGGAAGCTGCTGAGCCAGAAGTGGAGGCTGCTGAGCCAGAGGTGGAGGCTGCTGAGCCAAACGGAGAGGCTGAAGGGCCAGATGGAGAGGCTGCTGAGCCAAATGGAGAGGCCGAACAGCCAAATGGAGAGGCTGAACAGCCGAATGGGGATGCTGATGAACCGGATGGTGCAGGGATTGAAGACCCAGAAGAGAGAGCTGAAGAACCAGAAGAAAAAGCTGAAGAGCCAGAGGGAGATGCTGATGAGCCTGATGGTGCAGGGATTGAGGACCCTGAAGAAGAAGGTGAAGATCAAGAGATTCAGGTTGGAGAATCATATTATGACTGCCATGAATGCTCAGAAACTTTTGCTTCTAGTGTAGCATTTGGTGAGCACCTGAAGACCCATGCCAGCATGATCATATTTGAGCCTCCAAATGCCTTTGGGGAGTGCTCGGGTTACATTGAACGTGCCAGCACCAGTGCAGGTGGCAATGATCAGGCCGATGAAAAGTACTTCAGATGTGATGTCTGTGGGCAGCTCTTTAATGACCGCCTGTCCCTCGCTAGGCATCAGAACACCCATACTGGTTGAGAGCAGAAGGGTAACAGTTAGGAAACCTTCACCTAGAACTCAGTCCTTACCAAACCACAGAGAACTCAAACCAACCTGTAATAATGTCGATAAGAAATTTACCTTAGCTTGTATACACCCGACTTAACCTCAGAAAACTCAGACTAAATAGTCTGAATCTGGACACTCCTCAGGCTTAGCTCTGTCACATCAGATACTAGTATTTGGATGTGGGAAGGCCAAAGCAAGTACTTTAACTCTCATCCCAGTAACCAGATCGAGGAAGAAAACCTGGGAGTATTTGAGATGCAAAGATTACCCCATTCAACTGTAGATGACTTATATATAGTGTTTCCTGAGGTGTACATAAAACAGATCATAGCAAAATAGTGATCACATGTATTTGGATTTAATATGATACACAGTTACACTTTACATTGCAGAGGCACCTTACCTGGTACTCTGATTTTTTCTTTTTTTAACTTTTTTGGAGGAGGGAGTGAGCAACAAATTAGAATATATTTGTAAATGTCTTAGATCCTAAGAAAGATTTATTTGAACCCTGTCAGTATCTTTTTGAGTGTTTGAATGTGTTTTCTTGCTTACTCTTAAATAGTCTTGTGAAGGTGCAGACATGAAAACATGTCTTTTATCTTGCTGTTTGAAAAGAGAAGGACTTTTGACTTCCTTCTGCAGCCATTTCATCTGCACCAACACACTTCAGAACGTACTATTGTGTAAGCCTTTACAATATGCAGATTGGCCTTCTGTGACCCACGTTGATTGGTTGCCACATCGTATGTACCTTGCAGTGGTTCTCATGCAAAACTATTACTAGTTTGGATTTCTTTTGTTGTTGTTTTTCTCTTAACTAACTCAATGTGTCTTTGATAGTGAATTCATAAAACCTGAAGTGTTTCCTGTTAAATCTTACATCTTTGCCTTTAAAGAATGGGTTGCAACCATTACTAGATCATGGTAGTGCCTAGTGAAGGTTGAGAACCATAGGAGAGGCTCTCATGGTGTATATAAGGATGCAAGCTAAGGACCTTTCATCAATTTGTGTGCTTCCTGCCTTAAGTAACAAGTAGTAATGTGGCTTGAGTTACCTACACAGCATTAGTATGTGCTGCCACAAGTCAGTGTGAACCACGTGTACCCAGGAATTAATATCCTTAGACGTTTCTACTGCTAAACCTAATTCTCTTCTTTATCTGTCTAAAGAAGACCCCATGTAAAACTTGCATTTTTTTTTTAAGGCAAAATAAAAAGCTTTCTTTACAGTTAACTCAAGCTTAACATGGACTCAGGTTCCCCAGCAGCCTTAATTTGTTTTGTTAACATCTATTCCTTCTCTTTCAGCCCTCTTAAGTATTTGAGATACCCATTAGCTTTGTATTAGTCTGGTCTCCTGCTTTCTTAATTACAAATTTTGACCTCACAGCTTGAGGTTTCCTGTGTCCTATTCTGTGGACCACTTGTGCTCCTTTGCTTCCCTCCCCTGCATAATGACTATATTAAAAGATTTTTTGGCCTTGAGTTGGCTAAAAAAATTTTTTTAAGTTTTAAAAAAATGGATCTGTAGATCAAATGAACAAAAGATAAGCACAGATCATTTGAGAAAGCAAAGTTTAAATACCCACTGGGGGAAATGTGTCTGAATCTTACTCTCTTAGATCCACAGTATTTGGGCTCACAAGGAGTGTAGGGTCAAAGCTGCAGAGAATACCAAAGTCTATGGAGGTTGTAGAACTGTAAGCAAGAAGCAAAAATGAATAAGCCAAAGAAGGGAGCCCTAATACATCACCAGACCTAGAAGGGAGAGGAGACAGACAGAAGAAAACAGTGGAAGTAGCGATTAGAAGGCCAGGTAGGTGAGAATGGTGGTGTCCTGGACAGTTTGGAAGAACAGGCTTTTTGATTGCATGGTGAGGATGGAGATCAGCTGCATAGGAAACCCAAGGTTAGAATGGACATCCAGGAAAACTGAGGGACTTTAAGGCACTGTATGGGGTGAATACCCTAGAAGTGGGTCAGTGTTGATGTTATCAGAATTGGCAGGGTTTCACCTTAAAAGTGAGTCAGCATTCATGTCATTGTTGGCAGTATTAACCAGCAGACACTTTCAGAAAGCAGTTTGCCAAAAGTCAGGGTGTCCTTTCCAACCTTACGTTAGTGAAATATTAGGAACAACTTAAATGCTGAATATTAGGGGATGAACATATCTGGACTCTTATGCAGCTGTTTAACATGATAATCAAGAGTTATGTAGCAACATGGAAATATATTTACAGAATATTAAGTGGAGAAAGCAGGACACAATTATATTTGTACTGTTTAAAAATGTATGCTTATAGTCAAAAGCTGTTGTGGTGGTTGTGCTGTAGGCTTATAGTTGAGCATTATTTTCTTAAATCTTTGAATGTTCTTTATGGTAGTGTTACTAAAAAGTTGATGATCACGTTTCCATTGTGATAATTTGAAGTCATCATCAAACACTTGGAAAATACAGAAGAATAGAGGGAAGAAAAATCCATATCTCTACCATCCAAAGACAGATATACTCTTCACTATCGTGTTTGTTCTTGTTTCTGTGCACAGGTTTATGATTATAATTGTCAAAATGTGTATTTGGAATAGCTGTATGTTACCTTCATGGAATTATGGTTAAGTATTTTCATCTTATTTTTAAAAATATTCCTTTTAATAACAAAGTTTATTATGTTTGTCTTGATTGCAAGCATAATACATACCCAGAGAAAGATTAGAAAATGCAGTAAGTTAAAACAATTACCATATTCTGAATACCCAATAACCCAATAACACTCATGTTAATATCTTGATCTATTTCTTCCATCTTATCCAGTGAACAAGCTTATAATTCTCAGTGTTAGGTATGTACGCATAAATCTTCAAATGGAAAGAAATGTGGAAAATAATTAATGTTGGGGGATTATGGTTAAATATTTTGTCTCAAATTCCTCTTTTGGTGTTTTGGTATTGTGTATGTATTTCTCCATTACAAATATAACACATATGCATAGAAATTTGGGGGGAGATTCAGTAAAGTATAGGAAGAAAATTGACCCATATTTCCAGCACCCCACAACTACTGAGTATATCTCAATATGTGCACCAGTCTGATTACTAGAGTGGTAATAATAAGTATACATACATACATAAGTGTCAAAGACGGGAAGAGATATGGAAAACAAATAGTTGTGTAGTAGTTGTGGGATTATGGTTAAGTATGTTGTCTGTTTCCTTGAGTGGCCTTTATCATGGTGTTTTGGTAGTCCACCTTTATTACTATTTCCATTTTATACATAATACATGTTCATTATAGAAACTCTGAAGTTCCAGAAATGTAGAAGAGATACTCATTTTTTTCACCGCCCAAAGACTGTAGTTAACATCTTGATATATTTTCTTCATCTCATTTCTGTGCACAGATTTTTGGTTTGTTAATATGGTTGTGGTCGTTCTATCTACTATCTGTAATAGTGCCAACAATAAAAATAAAGTTAAAAATTAGACATTTTCATTCTCTTTTGCTTGTTTTAAGAGTTTGGGGTCATTAAATATGTGGAGCTTTGTTTTTGTTTTGTTTTGTTTTGTTTTGTTACAGTTATAATTCCAAAAACCTGATGTGCCTCCTTAGGCCTAAAAAATTTGGTTTGCAAATATTTTAATTTTTTTTTTAGTCTGTTATAAGATGTATGTGCTCACTAGAAAGAGATAAGAAAGGGGAACCATCAGTTAGCATAATGGCTATGTCGCTGGACTCCCACGTAGTCGACCACGGTTCGCGTCCCGGACTTGGTGGCTTAAAACTCACGCCGGGCACATGTGCGTGCGTGCCCAGGATCCAGAGAGGAGAATGGAGGAGAAGGGATTGCGGCGTGACCATCCCCCCTGGGGGGTGATTTCTCGCTTTCTGTCTCTATGTCTCTCTCTGTCTGTCTGGCAAGCGCATGTGCCCTATAGCGAAAAACCTCTCAAAAAAAAAAAAAAAGAGAGAGAGATAAGAAAGAAAAAGGAAGTGAGAAACCACCCCCCCACCCCCCACACACATGCACCATCACCATTATCATTTTCTAGCCACTGGTCTGGGACTTGCACCACAGTTGACCAGGTGGGATCCATTCGCCTTAACCTTGTGCCACTTGCTGACCCATTTCTAAGGGACTTTTTAATAATTCTTGAGTTCACATTTTAACTGCAGTTACAAAATTATTCCTAAATTTTTACACTGAGTATAATAACCACAAGTACAATATATTTCAGTTATTTGAGTGGGCATTTTTGATTGGAAATACTACTTCCTCAAATATAAACACAGTGTAGCTATGGCCCCCAGGCTCCATGTCAACCTTGAAGATCCATATTTTTTCCATCAAATTTTACCATCATCTATGTATCAGCAGTGTTTCCCCTAATGTTTGTAAGGAGACAGAGTGATATGGTCATGTCCTCACATAATAGTGCTTAAAAGCAAAGAGAAAAATTGTGTGTGTGTGTGTGTGTGTGTGTGTGTATGTAGTTTGAAGATCAATATAGCTATACCAGCATTCTTGTTTAGTGTTTGCATCTCTTTTTCCAACATTTGGATACTGGTGTGCTTACATAATTTGTGGTTGTGTTACACAAACTACCTATGCAGGTCAGCTTAGAAAAGCTTAGAAATATCCAAATGTCATATACATGTCCCCTTTGCCTCCATTTGGCTTCAGGGAATTCATCTCCCTGGGGGATGGCCACACTGCAATCCCTTCTCCTCCATTCTCCTCTCAGGATCTTTCACACACACACACACACACACACACACACCTAGCATGAGTTTAAGCCACTGGGTCTGGGACTCAAACTGCAGTTGGCTACATGGGAGTCCAGCAACATAGCCATTAAGCCAACTGCTGGTCGCCACTTTATTCATTTATTAATTTGTCCAGAGAGGGACAGAGTGAGCAAGAGAGAAAGGGAAGTGAGAAAGTGAGCCACCAGGTCTGGCACTTGAACTGTGGTTGGACATGTGGGAGTCCAATGCCCTCAACCACCACACCACCTGCTGGCCCCTCCAACATTTCAGTACAGTGCTCTATCACCTATGCTACCACAGCTGGGTCCCATTTATAACACTATGTTACAGATACAAATATGTACAGAATATATATATATATATAATACACATATAATCTATATACATATATAGTGTATAATATTTGTACATACATATTTATATGCCTGTGTGTAGTGTGCATACCCATATACATATAAATATGCATTGTTTTAGTTCATTTTAAAGTTGCTGTAACTGAATACCATAGACAAGGTAATTAAAGAATAAATGTTTAGTTAGCTCACAGTTTTGAAGGTCTAAAGTCAAGGGGTTGCATCTGACGAGGATCTTCTTGGTGGGTTTCTCTGCAGAGGTGCCTGTTGTACATTACATGGCAAGAGGATAAGAGTTTGTGTTTGATGTTTGTCTTCTTTTTTATTGTCAGCAGTATTCAGTCATGGGGGGCCATCCTGACGACCTTATTACATCTCTTAGGCCCTACCTTTTATATTCCACAGTCAGATTAAGTTTCCACTTTCTTAATACCTTCACAATAGCAACCACTGGGGTTTTTGTTATGTTTTTTAAGTTTTTGGTGCTGGCCAGGGAGGGAAAGTGAGAAATCACATTGGGTGCGAGGGGTGGGGGGAGAGTAGCCATGCCACAACCCCTTCTCCATTCTCTTCCTGGAATTTTGGTCATGCAGGCAAACACACCCCTAGTGGTTTTCAAGCCGCCAGGTCTGGGATTCAAACCTCGATAACCGCCATGTGGAAATCCAGCACCTTAACCATTATGCCATCTGCTGGCCCCTAGCAATCAATTTTTAACTCATTAATTTTGGGGGACACATCCAAACCACAACATACATAAGTGCATATAATCATACGTATACACACATGCAGATCTGCACACATACATTCTGTGTAAGAAACCGCTGGAAAGCAGTCCCGAGTGGACGTGTGTTTATAGGAGTAAAAAGTTGGTGGATGGAGCACGCACAGTGGGAGGAAGGATCCACTGTCTACTGTCTATTTTCTAATTCTTGAAACCATATACTAATTCTCCAAAACGTTAAGTAAAGCGTTAAACCTGAGGAGGAAGGTGCAGGTGCACCCAGGGCCGGCGACTCGCCCGCACCTCGCGACCGGGGCTTGGCGCCCGAGCGCGAGCGCACGCGCCAACCCACACAGCGCATGCGCGGCGGGACCGCCCAGTCAGGCGAGCTGTGCGCGGGCGAGGTGAGCTGGCGGCCGGGTGCGCGGGCCTCCGTGGGGCGATGCCTCAGCGGCCCTGCGGGAGTGGTTGTTGTAGGGAAGCGGGTGGACGGCGGGAACTAGCCGAGCCTGCGGGCAGCGCCCGGGACGGCCCGCGCGGCCCCGAGCCCCGCAGCGCGAGGCGGGGGGGGGAGGGCGGGGCCGGCGGGGGGGG